GGAATGCCTGTACCCATGATCTGGGACTGGCTAAGACTGTATTGTGGTACGAGGATTCTGTTGAGGATGTCATGTCTCTCTCTCATTCACGAAAGAAAAAAAAAGATAGAAAAGAAAAACCCTGCTCCAGAGTCAGGCTGTCTGGGCTGGAATTCTGCCAGCAGCCTGGCTTCTGTGCTATGAAACCATGGGAGGATGCAACCTCCATGAGCTTCCTCATCTGCAAAATGGGAACAATGACAGGAAAGAGCCCGCCCAGGCTGCTACCTAGGAGGGGCTCAACATGTTTCCAGCCCTCCCCACCCCCTCTTCTCCCCAATGCCCAGTCAGAGCACAGGATGGGCAAGGGCTAGAGAAAGTCCTGCCAAATGTCACAGCCACACGAGTGGCCCATCCTTTTGGGAGTTGCTCTTGAAGCCTCCATCAGCCCTCAGGGAACTCTTGGGAATGAAAAGGAACAACAGGAACATCCTGTCTTAGTTTGGGTTCCCTCTGAAGCCCACCCTGAGACAAGGATTCAAGTGATCCTTTGGAAGGTGACTCAGGAAATACCAGCAGGGGTTGGAGGAGTGAGACAGAGAGAAAGAGTGAGAAAAATGAAAAAGCACCCCCGATGGGGCATGGTCCCACTGCAATCCCTTCTCCATTTCTTCTTTCAGGACTTTGGACATGCGCACACACGTGCCTGGTATATTTTTTAAGCTGCTACATCAGGGACTCAAACTGTGCAGCTGGCCACGTGGGATCCAGCGCCTTCCCCAGCACACCACCAGCTGGCCCAGTTCTTTACATGTGATTCAGGTATGAAGACCTACCACTGCCACCACGGAGGTGGGTGTCTTCTCATGCAGTTCTGGAGCAAAGTCTGAATCTCCAGCCTGTGTCAGAACACCTGTCTTATCCCACAAGATCACCTCCCCCATCTCCTAAGCTTACACGTGGCATTTCCTGCATGTTCACACACATGACTATGCTTTTGGGAGGTGGTGTTACTGCCCGGAGAGTGATACATCCTCAGCTAAATCCTCATCTAGTCTCTCTCTCTCATATACACACACCTCCTACATGTACCCTCCCAGGGTTGGCCAGGCAGCCTTGACCCACGTGTCTGCAGCTAATAGAACAGAGCCCCGACACCCACAAACCCCAAACCCTTATGCATCTCACAAGCATGCCTGCTAACCTGCGCCAGCTCCCTCCACAGCTCCGTGCCTCGGGGGTCAGAAACTTGATCCTAGTATTGAGATCTAGTTGCCAGGTGCAGGCCAGCGCCTCCCCTCACTGCACCCCCAGCTGCCCAGGCTCGGGCAATCCACACGTGGGCAGCCGCACGCTCAGTCACTTGGGCCTCTCGCGAGGTGCCAGAGACCTGCTCTGAACAGCAATGGCCCCTTCAGCCCCAGCTGAGGACCACGGCTGGACAGCTGGGTTGGATTTCACCCCCAACCATCCTCCTGACTGATACATACTATTGTTTGTTTGTTTGTTTTTGTTTTTAGATTTTTGCCATGGGAGACATAAACTTGCCAGAGAGAGACAGAGAGGAAAAGTGATAAGTCACCCCCCAGGGGGTATGACCATGCTGCAATACCCTCTCCTCCATGCTTCTCTCAGAACTTTGGGCACACCACACACATGCCTGGCATGATTTTCAAACCACCGGGTCCAAGACTTGAATCGCGGTTTGCCATGTGGAACCCAGTGCCTTAACTGCCACGCCACCTGCTGGCCCTGGTACATACTATTCTAACCACCCAGCTCAGCACCGCAGGAGAGACCTTGGGGCTCCTCGCCATAACAGCAGTGTGGACGGAGCACATATTGCACGCACAGGCCCACTACATGACAAGCAGCCTGTGCCCCTACACAGGGCCCCCCGTTTGGTTTAAGGCTCTGTGGCTGCCATCTTGAAATACTTAAGAGGCCTCATACTTTCATATCAAACTGGGCTCCAAACACCAGGTAGCCAGCCCTGACGTGAACACCTGTGTGTGCTGGCTTGCTGAATTCTCCCGACACTTTACTAGCGTCATTCTCACCTCATAGACAAAGCAGCCAAGGATCAGAGAGGTAAAGTAACTTGCTTGGGAGTCACAGAGCTAGGGGATGGCAGAGTGGGATTGGAGGCAGACAGTCTGGCTGGAGAGTCTGGGAGCCTTTACCCCCCATGTCTGACAGCTCCAGACAGGAGCTACGGCGCCTGGTTTGCTGCCAGTCACTCTGCAGCTGACGGCATAGGACACCAAAACAAGATGTTCACCTTCCTGTCTTCCTTTTTCTCTTTCTTCCTTCCTTTCTTTCTTCTTTCTAACACATTATTATTATTAGAGAGATATTTTTGCTATAGGGCGCACGTGCTCTTCAGAAAGACAGACAGAGACAGAAAGCGAGAAATCACCCCCCGGGGAGATGACCATGCCACAATCCCTTCTCCTCCTTTCTCCTCTAGGGATCTTGGGCACGCACGCACACGCACCCGGCATGAGTTTAAGTCACCGGGTCCGAGACTTGAATCGTGGTGAACTACATGGGAGTCCAGTGACACAGCCATTTTACACCAACTGCTGGTCCCTCTTTCTTTCTTTTTAACACATTATTATTATTAGAGAGAGATTTTTGCTCTGGGTGTGTGTGCTGGTCAGAGAGACAGACAGAGACAAAAAGCGAGACATTACGCCATCTGCTGGTCACCCCTTTGTCTTTCAACAACCGTATAAGGTGTGAAGGAGAACTGATGGAGGTGAGGACAGGAAGATCCCTGAGATCTGGAGAGGTTGGGGATCTGCCCGGGGGCACTGAGCAGCCAAGACCCCAGGGCCCTCCTGTCCTGGCTTCTCCCTCAGCCAGCTCTTCTGTGTTTCCAGCCCCTTAGAGAGAGGGAGCATGACCTGGAGGAAGATGAGTCACAGTCAGGTCCAAGGAGGTGACCAGCTGAAGGATGCCGCTCACCTGGCTGGTGAGGCCTTTCAACCCTGCAGGGGTCTCCAGCAACCCAGCCCCTGCTGCACTTAAATGGCTGGACAATGGCCAAGGACTCAGTGTGATGAGGCACTCCTGCCTGTGTGTGACGCTGCCAGAGGCTTGCAGGGAGCTCAGGCTCCCTCCTCTGGGCTTAGTCCTCTCACCTGTACCCTAAAAGTACTTCCTTCTATGACAGCTAAAATCTGCAATGACAACACTAACTTCCCCAACTCTGCCCCAAGCGGGAACCCTGGACTGGGCCAGTCCCTGGAGCCTGGAAAGGCTGTCCTCTTTCAGGTCTTCTCCCTCGCCTAATTCTAACCCTTACCACTCTCTTACGAACCAAGTCTCCAACTCCTCTTCCCCAGCCCCGGTCTGGTCTTCCAGTGCTTGAGTAGGTGGGGCAGGTGCCAGGGTTAGATGCGCAGGCTCGGGAATTCAGCAACGCTGGGCGTGGCTCCCCGTTAGCCACTGCGCACTCCCCTTGGGTTAGTTACTGGGCCCACTGTCAACTTCCTCAGCCCTGAAATGAGGATGACGAGACAAGAGCACAGGGAGCGGTTTGGTGCTGCTCCCATTCTAGCTAGACCAGGAGACACCAGGCAGGGCCTTCTTTGCCTGCCCCACACCCAGCAGATGGCTCCGCTTCCACCCTTTTTTATTTTTTTCTTTTCAGTTTGCTGTAGGGCCAGTGCACTCACCAGAGCGAGACAGACACAGAGAAGGGGAAAGTGAGAAATCACTCCCTGGGGAATGGCCACACCCTAGTCCCTCACCTCCACTCTCTTCTAAGGATTTTGGGCACACACTCACATGTGCCTGGCATGTTTTTCAAAACCTTGGGTCTGGGACTCGAACCATGCAGTTGGCCACGTGGGATCTAGGCACTTTAATCTCCACATTAGGTTTTTTTTTTCTTTTCTTTTAAAATTTTTTTCTATAGGAAGGTACATGTGCTTGCCAGGTTGGGGGCAGTGGTGAGAAATCATCCCCAAGGGGGATGGCCACACCACAATCCCTTCTCCTCTCAGGATTTTGGGCACATGTACATGTACACGGCATGTTCAAGCCACAGGTCTGGGACTCAAACCGTGCAGTAGGCCATGTGGGATCCAGCATCTCAACCTTATGCCACCTGCTGCCCCCCAACCTCTTTTAATAACGGGGTTACCAACTCCGTGTGTAGTGCTTTGCCACCTCACATTCCTTTTGACATATGTTTGTTTTTTTTCCGGAGAGGTTTTTGCTATAGGACGCGTGCGCTCGCCAGACAGACAGAGATAGAGAGACAGAAAGACAGAAAACAAAAAATTACTCCCCCCCCGGGGGGGATGGCCACACTGCAATCCCTTCTCCTCCATCTTCCTCTCAGGATGCGGGTTTTAAGTCACTGGGTCCGGGAATCAAACCGTGGTCAACTGCATGGGAGTCCAGCGACATAGCCATGACGCTAACTGCTGGTCCTGAGAGATGGGTTCTTATTCCATCTTAACAGGAAGTAAACTGAGGCTCAGCAACAGGCCTTACCAGGGCAGAGTGGTGGCAGATTCTGTTCATAAGGCTAATGATTCTTTTCAAGACTCCGGATGAGCGGGCTGGGGCATGCGTGCAGAGGTCCCATCATCCCCAGCAGGTCTCTTAATAATGACAGACCTGGCTCACACTTAGGCTTAGTTTCTCTGGAAAAATGGGGATGAAGCCCGCATCAGAACGATGTGACAATGAAATAGCATCCCATTCAGTCATCCATGCCGACCTTGTAAGGCTTTGGGAGTGCTCATTTCTTCCCCTTCTACCCCCTCCCCCCATTTTTTTTTTTTTTTAAGTTTTGCTATGAGGCCTGTGTGCTTGCTAAAGAGAGACAGGAGAGAGAGGGAAGTGAGGAAGCACCACCCGGGGGATGGCCACGCTGCAGTCCATTCTCCATTCTTCTCTCGGGATTTTGGTCTCACATGCACACACTCCCAGCATTTTTTAAGTGCTGGGTCTGGGACTTGAACCACACAGATGCTATGCGGGATCTAGCTGCCTTAACCATCATGCCACAGGCTGGCCCCCATCCTTCAGTTTTAAAGTTTCTTGAGAGAGAGAGAGAGACGTGCACCCTCAGTAGGCTCTCAGACACTGATCTCCCCCTCCATCCTTTTCCGCTGGCCAGGATCACAGACGTATGGGTGCACCGGCATACAGGAGGCGACCTGGGAACTGATCCCTGATCATCCACGCGACTTCCAGCAATGAGTCATTGTTACCTACCGCTGTGCCACTGTGGCTGGGCCCATCTTCCACTTCTATTGGGTGGTCGGAAAAGTCTTGACGTATTTTTAATGTGTCATGACTTTGCCGACCACCCAACAGATGCAGGGTTTTATGTTCTTCTTCGGAAAGGATTTTAGGCTGGTTGGTCGTGGCCGACATACGCCCGAGTCCCTAGAAATGCCGTCTGCATTCTCTCAACATGCTTGCTTAACTAACACCTCTGTCCTCTCATGGCTTTAAGACAAATCATACAAATGCCTGGAACACCGTCAGAGTTGGACAGGATGGCCGGGACGACTTAGCCCCTCCTCTGAAATGCGAGGACCTCCCCACGGTGGGTCACACAGACGGTATCGACAGACTGCGACCAGAACCCCAGGCCCTGGGCTCCCAGCTCTGATTTTCCATGGCACTGATCTGCTTTAACGTATTTTCCACTGGGCTGAGGATAAGACTGGCTCTGAAATAACTCATCCTCCAGGCTGGTCTTGTAGAGAGAAGGCTGGCAAACACACTAAAATTAATACAGTACAAAGCAGTAAGTACTAACATAGAAAACATTTATGCCAATGCCAGTTGATTTCATTGTATTACGACCGTCATCTCCACTTTGGAAGTGGGACCAGTGGCCTCAGTTTGTCCACAGCAAGGGTTCTCCACACCGGCAGGGGGAGTGGGGTGTTTGTCCCTCAGGAAGCATTTG